AAATGCATACACAACAAAATGAATATATATGTATATGTATATATAAGACAATTAAATAAATAATCAAGGATAATTAGACTAACAAGACCAGGTGGACGGATATGGGTCAGTGAAATTCTACTATACATCTGTTTCAACATTAAGTGGTTCAGTCGATGTATATATATTCGAACTAATTGTAGTTGAAATTTTTCTTTGTGTTAAATGTTGTGTTGGTGACGTTCTGATTGTTTTATGATTGGCAGTTGGTGAACGAAATATTGGATCTTCAGGTGAAGAATATGAATGAAGAAAGGCATCGGATTCATCTAAATGATAATATGCATCACCTGATGATATTGATTTTTTTCCTTTTATTCTTCCACTACTATTGCTTGTTGGTATTGCTAAAGCAAATTGATCTGTAGTAATATCAACAAGTGGCGGGGTAGAAGTTCCACTAGAATATTTTATATCCTTTTGTTCTTCGGAATCAATATCTCGATGATAAAAATAATTAAAATTTGATACAATAACAGGTACAGGTAAAGCAATTGTAAGTACACCGGCAATAGCACACATTGAACCAACAATTTTACCAAATATACCCACTGGTCTCATATCTCCATAACCAACCTAAAATAATCAAATATTTAAGTAATAACAAGAAAAAAGAAAAAGAATATTATTTACAGTTGTCATAGTAATCATTGCCCACCAGAATGCATCAGGTATAGATTTAAAAAATGATTCGGGTTCACTTTGTTCAGCAAAATAAACCGCCGAAGAAAATAATATAACACCAATAAATAGAAAAAATATTAATAGAGCTAATTCTTGCATACTCGCACGCAATGTCTGACCTAAAATTTGTAGGCCTTTCGAATGTCTCGATAGTTTAAATATACGAAAAACGCGTACGAGACGTATAACACGTAATATAGCTAATGACATAGCTTGATTTGATTTCGTTTTTTCTTCCGCTAAGATGGTAAATAATGTAATAAAATACGGCATAATAGCAACGATATCAATAATATTCATTATTGATTTAAGAAAGACAAGTTTCAATGGACATGATATTAGACGAACAATAAGTTCAAAGGAAAACCATACAATACAACATGTTTCAATAATAAAAAATGGTTCAGTCAATTCAGGTATATCATCTTCTTCGATTGTTAAACGAGATGAATCATAAGATGTATTGTCAGCTGGTCGTACACGATAGCGTTTAAATTTAGGAAGAGTTTCTAAAATACAAATAAAATTGTGATAAATAAAAGTTAATTTTTATCAGCTATGGATTTATATTTTGCACCAAATCGAAGAAAAATATCTTGTTCTTCGACAGAATACAAAAATAGAATCAGATAAGAAATAATTGTCGTTTCAGATTATATTCCAGGTTTAATAAGTTCACTATTCAGGATATTATTATCCTACCTATCTGTTTCAGCATTTTCCTCAGATAAAATATATTCAAAACTTTTATGGCATTTTACTATAGATAGTACGTAGAGAATTTCATGTGAATGTAGAAATGAAATCAATATCAGTACTCATTGTCAGATATATTGAGAGACTTCATCTCTTATTCAAAAACTTACAAGATTGATTAATATAAGACTCTATTAGTCTCGATAAAACATATACTATCTTTAACTGTTCTAATAAATCAAACATTGTTTATCTTATTATCCATATATATTTATCAATCGAGAGTTTAGGCTTATTTAACAACGCAAAATGAAACTCAAGGTTATTTTTTCTATTCTACTACACGAGTAATACATTAATACGAAAGAATAAACTTCAAAATGTCAAAGTGATTTATGGATTATAGGTTATATATCATTGGCATGACTGAAGTCTCTCTATAGTATTTCCTGTTTTTACATGCTGATATACATGTAATCATTTAGACTATTGAGTAGAACAAATAAAAATGAGTACATAATCTATTACTTACCAAGACAAAATATGACAATTGACATAAGAATAACAGTGACAGATATAAGAGCAATAACACGTGCCCATTGAGACGTTTCGGGATATTCAAATAGAAGCCAGATTTTACGTTGAACTTCTGGTTTTGGTAATATACGTTCTTCTTCTTTAATAAAACCTTCATCTTCACGAAATTTATTAAATGCATCTTCACCTAATTCAAAAAATTTGATTTCTTCTGTAAATACATCTAAATAAAAGATTTTTGTTTTTCTTTTTATACAAATTCTTGTTTTCTATTTTCTTACCAATTGGGACATGATTTGGTCGTCGAAGTCGACCACCAGATTGATAATAATAAAGAATAGCATCAAAACTTGGTCGATTTCGATCAAAAAAATATTCATTACGTAATGGATCAAAATATAAAACACGTCGAGATGGATTTCCAAGTAATGTACGTGGAAAATTATTTAATGTTTGTAATTGTGTTTCAAATTTTAAACCAGATACATTTATAACAACACGTTCAGTTGATTCATAATCTGGATGTTTTGATGCTTCTAATTGTTCTTCAAGGGTTAACTCTTCATCCAATGGACGAGAAAATGCCCTATAGATATATAATAAAGATATATTAATATGTTTATTTTCTTTTAATTTTTGTAAGAAAAATATAACTAATTTAAATATATTACTCACAGCATGAGCAGTTGTTGTTTGAGATAGTTACTATTGGCAAACAAAACTATAGAACAACATGTGTCATGATTTTGCTCCCTGGAGCAACACCAACACAGCCAGTATCCTCGTTGTAGCATGCATAAAACTACGCGCTTAAGAAAGAAAAGCAACAGACAACTATCAACAGTGTCTGTCACTCAGTTTGTCTATCAGTGCTGCTGATGATGAAGATGATGATGAGATTGACAATTGTAAAAGATGAAAAGATAGAATAAAGAAAAGGTTAATCAAGCTATTAGCTTCACGTATCTTCTTGCAGTTTGTTCTTGATCATTGATAAGCACGAGATTTCTATTAGGCATGTCGTCAACATGAAAACAATAATTATAGTAACACTAAGATTTAGTTGTATCAGTAACGAAAAAGAGATATGTCAAGAAAAAAAAAAAGAAGACTAGAATATCGTTTATCTTTTCTTTCTCTCTCTCTCTCTCTTTCTCTTTCTATCTATTTCTCTCTTTTCCAATTATTTCCACATCTATAAATCCTACCGATAAGACGTAGAGAGGACAAATGATGACAACAACGTTAGTTAAACAAGGACATATTAATGCGCATCTGTACAACATAGAAAGCTTCAATTGCAAGGTTTCTTTTTTTCTTTACTACTGTGACCAATTTCAAAAATCTTACCACATGTATATTTATCCCAGGAGAGAAATGTAATAAAACTATAAACTATACTTTTGTTTTTTATCAACAATTATGAAATAGTCATAGATTACTTTATTTTCATCCCTTTATATAAAATTATATCAGAGAGAAAAAAAAGTAAAATATTTATTTATGACAAAATATTTAATCAAAGATTATAAATCATCGAGATCGATGAACAAATGTTGATAACGCTATTTTTTATTTTATTTCATTTCATCATAAATTAAAAATAATGATTGCAAATAATCGTGAATCAAAAAAACTTGTTCCTGATAGATCACAGGAACTTGGAAAAGTTCATATGAATACTAATGAGAATGATTTTTACCATTAATCTTCGTTAAAATGAACATATGAGACCAGATTAATATAGTAGGATGTCTAGGATAATAATCAAATGCATATATTGTATCTTCTTTCAATAACTAGATCTTTTATTTTAACATTTCAGTAAAAAAAAAGTACATCTTAATTATCTCTTGACCTTTGTTAGCGTCTATTTAATGTCCAAATATTGATTACCATCAATTAATCTACAACTATTCAATTTAGTATTCTAACAGAATTCATATATTCATTGAAAGAAAGAATGTATTGGAATTATTATTCTTAAATAAAGTCAAGAATACGCAATGCCATCGCTATATAATAATTATCTAGACTAGAATATGCAGATGCATATCATTTATTAATAGGTCTTTGTGTTGAATGTCAAAAGAAAAGAAAATGATTTTTTTTCTCCTCCTATTCTGAATATTATTTGAAAGTCATGAAACAGAACACAACAAAAAAATTTCTATATGGGAAATATCTGCTGTTTAGAAATTTTAAGAAGAAAAAACATTTACTATTAATGGATTCTTTAAAAATAAACGAAGATATTTTTTTGTATGTCATTGTTGTTGTTGTAAAAAATTCTAAGAATTTATTTAGTTTTGTTTCATATAATTATTTATATAACTGGCACGTTTATTGACCTAGAAAAAAATCTATGTCATTAGTTTTTATTCTAATCAAGATTCAAGCTTTCCTGTATAAATCAATCTACTAACTTAAATCAACAATATCAAAACGTTCATAATTAGCTTCAAGGTTTGTTTGCTTACTCAATTATTTTGAAAATATATTTATATGTCTTAATTCTATAAATAAACTTGTTTTTTTTGTGTTCTAGATCTGTAATAATAGTGATTTACTTTTCTTAATCATCTAAATGATAATATCTTTATAAATAAGACTAGTCTATTTTTATTTTTTTAACAGATATAATTTAAAATTTAAAACAATAGATATTCGAATTCATTTGGGAATTTTCTTCGAATTAGTCAAGAAGATTTCCCTATGCACATCTGTGCATAAAATTATAAAAAAACAACAATTTGATCCTATTATCTATTTATTAATAGAGATAAAAAAAAGAAGGAATATTTCAAGAGAAGAAAACTTTTTCTTTTTTGAAAAATCAATCAAACTAAGCGTTGTCTTAATATTAATTTATCTTTTTTCATATATATTAACAATACACATTAATCTTTGTCATTTTACTTCAAAGATAATCAATGTTAGTAACTTCATTAATAATAACACGAAATACATTGTCTAATATTAATCAAATCACAAGTCATCATTTGTAAACATACTTTTTTTTCTTCTTCTTTTCAAACATTATCTCACCTGGCAGCAACGGCTAAACTATTGGGTACAAGACAATTAACAACAGACGTTCGAGGTGGATCACCATCGAACGTTGAAGGAGCACCAATACTATTTAATAGATCATGTATAGGACCGTGCTGTACAATAGACATATGCCGACCTGTTGTTCGAGCGGAACTGGATGACTGATCATTACCAAATTCAACACCACGTCGACGTGTTGTTTCATGACAACTTTATATTAGGAAATAACAAAATGGAAATAAATATCCATAGTATACAAATAAGAAGATCAAGACTTACAGTGAACGATCAGTAAGAATCATGACTAAATAGTAACTGTTCTCAGTTATATATATATATATATGTATATTATATTGATTGATGTATTCTAATAAGGCTCGTTCTCGAGAAGAAAACTGATATCAATAGTCACCAGAAGAACACAGAAAGATTAGGCAAGTAAATAAGCAAAAAGAGAATATGAAGATGACGTTCGCTAATGGAACCATATATACATAAGAACAACAAAAACAAACATTAATAAGAACAGAGAAACAGAAATCTAGAGAAAGAATAAGAGAAGGATACTGAAAAGTTGCAAACGACGTGTAATACGAGATGTTACTGATCTTAAGCCTGCGCATTTGTACGCGTATCAATCGATGACGTCAAAACATCGAAAAAATAAGGAACGATAATTATCTGAAATACTACCATAACATTGTGTCTATTATCGACTTAATTCATCTGTTATTACCATTGACCTTTGTCTACTGTTTTTAATTTCAAATAGTGCGCATAGTTGTATTGTCTTATAGTATCGCCTTGTTACCTTCTAATTTTTCTAAGTAAAACTATTCTACAAAAAAAAAGGAACTGAGTATCTGTCTATTTCAAGTATGTGGAAGGAAGAAGTTAGTTTTCTATTTTGTATTCTCATGAATTTCTATTCATTTTTTTATTAAAATACATCTAATGTAAAATATTGAATAAGACATATATGTAATAAGTAAATTTCTTGAAGAGAGATTTTAGATTTATTTGTCTTGGTACACAATATTAGAATACGAATGATTAAACTTCCGTTAGACAAAAAAAAGTTTTCACCATATTCGATTCATTATTGTTAATTGAACAAAATCATATTCGACTTTTTAGATCATAATAAGTGCACTTACGAGACATCTCCGAAAAGAAGACTAGCATATATTGTAGGCTGCCAAACTGAAACTGCGGCTGTTATTGCCATATTTTTCTTTAGTTTTACTTTTAACAATATGTAGATCGATATAAGACACGAAGGATTGTAATTTATGTGAAGTCATATAGCTTTTTTGTCTTTATATTTAATTCTTTTCTTTCTAATAAATATGAAAAATAATAACACGCGAACATGAATCGAACGACAGAAAATCGTACGTTTGTAATAACAAGAATATAGAAAAATAGGCCTACAAATCTCTTCAATAGGATGGATGAATAAACTGTCTGACAGATAAGTAACGAATTAACTAATATATATATAAGCAAAATATCTAATTGTTTCTGCTCGATGTAGTCAAATAATGAAAAGATTTTAAATAGACTATTGTATATCTACTTACATTGGATGATCATTCAATGAAACATGTTGCCAAACCGTTGCCATCGTCATTTTGAAAGGATTTTTTTAAGGTATAATTTTATACGTGTAATAATATGTATATAAAAATATTAGTTAATGTGTAGATGCCAATCACTTGTTGGTATTTTTGATCATTTCAAATACCATACTCATAAATACACACATACACATACAATGAATAGCGCTTTGTCTTGCTTGCTTCTGGAAACGACAATAGTCACTACTATACTCTCCATTTTCCTTCGTTGTCGGTCGCATGGGTCTCGTCTTTTCTCATTGCATAGTCAAGGAGAAAGAAAGGCAGCGTAAAAGCATTCGCGTCTGATGATGAACATGCGTTCACACACATACTCTTTCTCCCTCCCTCCTTCCTCCTATCTCTCCTTCTCCCTATCTCTCTCTCTTTCTCCCTCTCTCTTTGTTTTTCTTTTTTTTTTCTTCTTCTTTTTTTTCTTGTGCTTTCTCGCATTTTATTATACAATGCGTCTGCTACTATTAGCATCACCACAGCACACAGTTGGAATGAGGGGAAAAAGCACACGCGTGTCGTGTCGAAAATTTCATTGAGCGCGACGACGAACCGACGCTGCGGGTATTAGCATTACGCATATTATTCTTGTATATTACTAACAAGCTAGTGCTGCAAGCTTAATAAAAAAGCACATTAGTTCTTTCTTTCTTTTTTTTTTTCTTTCTTTCTTTTTAATCGTTCTTTTCTAAAGCATATATATATATGCTTATATATATGAACTATGTTAATAAAAAAAAAAAAGAAGAATAGTAGCAACATTGACGGCATAAAAGCCAAGTCTAATAAAATAACGACAGCAGAAAAGAAGAAGAAATGACAAAGACAAAAAAATGACTAATTCAATGGTGTAATTGAATAATTCTTTTACAAATAAATATTGACCTTGGAGAAGATATAACTCTCTTTTTTTTTAAATTATTCATTTGTAAATAAGAGAAATTATTTTTCATTTCAATCAAGTGCTTCTTCACTTTTAAATAAGTGTTGTTATATTTATTATAAAATTATATGATAAGAACAAGTTTTTTTTTTTGTAAAAAACGGAAAACTTACAATAATGGACTAGTACCATATTTTGTATGTTGACTACTACCATCATAATTATATAACAATGCACTTTCATGATCACGACGTTCATTTAATTGACGACGGTGAGTCGTTTGATTATCACTATAAAAGTTAAATAGAATAATTACAACTATTATTCTTATATATTTATAATAATAATAGTTTTATTCTTCTTTCAAAACAACATATTTTTTTACCATATGACAAAAAAAAAACGATATTGTTTTTCAAATTTCCAAAAAACTATATTAATGCATTGAAAAGGTTTTATTTTATGTATTCATGTAGAAAAGATGATTATCATAGATGATTATTGAAAAACGCAAAAAAAGAGAACATTATTAAGCTATTTTCTTTAATACAATTTCCGGTTAATTATTTCAATACTTTTATGCTCAATGTATGAAAATTTCTTCTTTAGGAATTATAGTTCGTTCATTGAATATAATAGAAAAAAATATAGTCTATCTTGATTCATATATATATATATATTGTCATTGTATAGATATCTTAAAAAATAAGTTAACATTTAATCTTATTTTATTCTTTTCAAAAAAAAAGAAAGAAAAACGGCAGTCAATCAAATAAATAAAAAATTGTCTAGTATGTTTTCTATCAATAAATAAAGCGCCCATTATCAAGTTAATATTACAGAATCAGATTTCCATAAACATTTCTTCAGCTTGTACGTATATAAAGAAATGTTTATACATGATCACGTACTCATTCGATATTTATTTTATGTCAGACGAGATGAAGATCTATATATTGATTAATAATTTATTTATAACACTTACTAATCATTATAATTAGAAGATGCAGCAATTTGTATAGTTACTGGAGTTCCCATGCGCTTTGTGTGTCTATTTTATTCATTATTCAATGTGCGATAAGTAAATAAAAATGGAAATCTCAAACATACGTCACTTTATTGCACTTGTGACCATTATGTATGTAGACTTGTGTGACATACACACATTTTCTCTATCTTGTTAATGAGATATCATAGAGAAAGGGAATAGAAAAATCGAAAGAGCAAGACAACCATAAAGAAAAATCCATTGTCTTAATACTCTCTACAATCGTCAGTGTATAAGAGCAAAAAAATAGATCCACTGATGTTGATGTTGTTAGCGTTGAAGCGCATCGAGCAAAAAAAAGAGAAAATGACATAGAATTTTTTTTGTCTCTTAATTGTGCTCTCAACTCTTGCCTTTTCTTTTTTTGTTTTATTCTTGCCTAATATTGAACTTTCATTATTGTCTTTACATCCGTTGGCTTTTCTTGAGTGATTATAGATCAGATTAGTCAATAGAGTAGAAGAAAAAAAAATCTAAAGTGATCCTGAGATCTAACCATTAAGAAAATTTTATCAATTTTTTTTTCAGTAAGTATAATCCTACTTAATAATATATTGCGAACTTCAATAACTATCGATGTTTTTTTGTATTAGCCATATGTCAAGCAATTAGAGTAAAGCATGTTTATTCTATCCTAATGTGTAATATAAAACTGGAAATATGCTTTGATATTTAGATGAAAATTAAACCAAAACGCTAAAATGTTTATTATTAATAATGATTTAGATCAAATGACATTCATTTGTAATCAACATAGGAAATTAAATCACTTCCTACGTATTTAATAGTTCGTCTAAAGTTATCATTACTACTTGACATTTTAGAACTTAGAATATGACAAGATGGCCAATTATGATATACATATGTATGTAAAAGATCAGAATCTACAGGATATGGTTGACTTCAAAATATCTAATTATGATTCTATGTTATTGATTATAATACTAAAAGTTTTTACTAAACTTTATTGAATAACTGATCTGGAATATTTTCAATAAAATAAAAAACAGTAAAAGATTCTTATTAATAATAGATTATACTATATATATAGTTGATCAATTAATTAACATATAGACGTATGTTTGATAGCAGCACTATGTTAAATGAGATTTCTTTTTTTATCGAAATTTGTTAGAAAATTAACGCAATAAAATAATGAGTTTTTCTAGTAAAAATGTTTTTTTTCTATAATTACATTTTTAAAATTGATATAAGATAGTTCGTATTTAAAAACAAGGAAAAATAATTGAATCATTCGTTTCAATAGTAAATTCGTATTTGTTTTTTTTCATATACAAAAAAATTAAATTATCTATACTTACGTTTTATTTACATTTGTAGCAAGCATGTTTCTATATAGATGAATCGAAGAATTTTCCATACAAACATCATTTTTTGTTTGATCAATCGTTTAGTGTTATTAATACTAATAATAAGAGCAATACGTTCGAGTATATATATATATATATCTATATATGTATGTATGTGCTTTTCTCGGAAAAGATATGATCTTCCGTTAGAATGACAAGTTCGATTATCAACATGAAAGAAAACATTTCTTGAAGTGAGTAATTGAAAAAGAGAGATACTTAATTTATTATTAATGCATACTGATGGATTAATTAATGGTTACTTTTTTTAGAAAAATCTTATCTACTCATTTTTTCGATATTATTAAATAATTTGATAAGATAAATGTATTGAAGACATTTATAAATACATATGTAAATTATTATATTCTACAGTGATTTTTAACAGTATGACATGAAAAATCATATAAATGCAAATCAAAGTTTATTCTCTCATAATATGTAATCAAGATACCATATTAGATACAGAATATTTTTCCATATAAGATAATATTAAGAACTCATAATCTCTTCTCTAATTGAATTCAGACTATTTACAATATTACCGTAGTAAACAGCCTTCGGTATGCATAATAATAAACTATACGTTTATATACAATCAGACAAATATATTCTATAAAATAAACAATAAAAACGTTTTTTTCATTACACATAACTAAATTATCTCTATTGACATCAGTAGTTGTATATGATATTGATCTGTTTATTTATTAGCAAACATCATCTTTTCTCTTTCATGTTTGATTAACCTGAATACTTTATATCTTCTTCTAATCGAGTGTTATTATTCATTAAGGATATAAACAACATAATATTTAATATTATCTTAGTCAGTATCATGAAAATTCTAAAAGATAAAGACCATTTATATAATTTTTATTCAAACTAATTCAGTCTTTGACCTTGAATAATCTGCATTTCAGAACAACTCATGTATGACTATCAATGGAAGATTTCCATAGATTATATATTACTAAGATCTTTTAGTCCATATATCAATGAACTATTCAGTTATGAAAATGTATTGGATTTAAAATATTTGCTCGAGGTGCAAATTTACTCAATGAAATTCAAATACATGATTGTATTCATTAATCATAATACATCTGTTTAATATTTCATATAGTTTTGTATGAATGAAATTTATGAATTCATGTTTTATTTGTATGTTTGTGTTATATGGAAAGAAAAGAAACTATTGATTTAAGTCGAAGAGAACAAATTACTTTATAAGCCGAAACAGATAAGTATTTAAAGAAACATATGACAAATATACATTCCACACAAAACACACATATAAGATCAGTGTGGAATGAAAAAAAAAAGAAAAAGAAGGAAACTACAGACAAACATATAGAAGTAAACTACAATGAAATGAATGTACAACATGTGAGAAGTGAAAAAAGAAAAGAAAGAAAAAGAACACAGTAATAATAGATTTGAATGCATGTTAATCTCCACCAGCTGATTCACCACCGCCGCCACCACCATTATTATTGCCATGTGATGCCGCTGCAGCTTTAGCAGCTGATTGTAAAGCTGATTCGCCAATAGTAACTGGTACAACTACAGGTGAACTATTACCAGCGGCTGAGAGTAATGATGGTGTACTACTACTTGATGATGCTGTTGTTGATTGAAGAGATGTATCGCCTAAAAGTTGACTGGCTGCTGTTTGAGCAAGAAATGGAGCAGCTAATGGAAATAATGATGAAAATGGTGATACTCCATTAAGACTACCATCATATGCTGAACCTAAAATGTTCATTTCAAAAAAAAAGAAAAGAAAAAGATTATTTTTAATTGTTAAATAACTTACGTGGTACATTGAGATAATCTCTATTAACACAATATCGAAGTGAACCAGGCATTTTTCCTGTTAAACCACGACGTACTTCATGTGCTGCATTCTCTCGAATTTCTTGTGCACTAGCTTCACTATACCATGCCGTTCGTGGTGTACATATTAAATTAATTGCATCTTTTAATGGTCCTAAAAATATTTTAAGAAATATTTATTAAGAAGAATACTAAATCTATTTGTCAAAAAGATATCGTTGATAAAATAAATTTACTAATAGGATTATATGATAAAAAAAAGTCATTGAGAGTACTTGACTAACGAGAAATCACAAAGAACACGATTATGATTTGTGTTAGAATTCATTCAAATAAGACATTACAGTAAAAATAGAACTTTTTCACTTATCTCCTATTTGCTTTTCTATTCGAGAAAGTTTTAAAACACTGAAAAATTTGAAAGAAGCGTTAAAGTTAATACAGATGTCAATTTTTCATACAATAGATCGATTAAAACATTTGATCAACTTCTTGAATATGTTGATATATTTAGTCAAATCAATGTAGTGTATATGATTAACAACACTATAGTAACTGAAAGGAGACGTACGATTTTTTTTTGACACATGCAAGCTTTTAAAATATGAAATTTTAAAATATCTTCTTTTTTCGGTTTTTGTTGAAATTTTTTATGGATATCTTTTTTTGTAAATAAAAAGGATTATGTCATATTTAAGAATACAATTTACAAATAGCCTTAAACTTTACTCTCTGTAACGTATCATGAATTGTGTATACACAAAAAAAAAAGTATTCTTACCAGCAGCTAAATTATACGGTTCATTTTCAAGAACATCAAGTGCAGCACCACGTATTCGACCATCTTTTAATGCTACAGCTAATGCTGTTTCATCCACAAGACCACCGCGTGATACGTTAACAAGAAATGCTCCTGGTCTCATTTGTTTTATAGTAAAATCATTAATTAAATGATGATTATGTTCATTAAGTGAACAATGAAGTGTGACACAATCAGAACGATAAAGTAAATCTTGCAATGTAAATACTCGTGTAATTCCTATAAATAAATTATTAAAAATTTTCATAAAATGTGTTTCTTTTTTTAATTTCTTCTTACCTAAAACTTTGTCAATTCCATCAGAAAGATAAGGATCAAAAAATATAACATTAAAACCAA